AAACGTTGCTCCAGGTCCAGCTAAAAAAGGTGAGCAGTTTCAGCATAGATGGTGCTGCTCCTGATATCAATGGCCATAGAATTTTGCATCCATGTTATAACAACATCATTGCATCTCAGCCAATGTTCCATCAATGGATCATTGGGATCCTTTGGCTCACACAAGTGTTCTATCAATAAAACCAATTTTGTTTTTGATCCTCAAGGCTCTCTTCATCGAACGAGCCCAAGAATGGTAATTGGTAGAATCCAAAACATGAGTAACCAGCATAACAGTGCTCCCAATATAGTATGGACTATTGGGATGAGTCAGATCATGGGGAAGAGCTGCTGGGTTGATTTCACTAGTTTGTAGTTGATTTTGACCTTAGTTTGGATTGGTGTTTGGAGAATGATTTGTATTTCCAGAATTGGATTCCCCAACTTCTTGCTCTGATACCATATTGGATTTGAGAAAAAAAATGAATTTGAGAATGTATTGTATTTGATAAATCTGAGAATGGAAAGAATGTTTATTCCATTAATCTATTTCTTTAATATACAATAGTGCAGTGTATATACAGCAAAAAAGGATCTACTCCTAACTAACTTACACATAATACACAGCAATGAAAACCTAACAAATCCAAGCTGTACAATAACAAATCCCTTCTAGACTATTCTCTTGTTATTACTGCTATGAAATCCATGTGGCCTGTATCCTCTCAAGACTTCAGCCAGGTCATCTTTGAGCTCCTCCAACTGGATCATCCTCTAACGTTAACACTAAAGGAGGTTAAAGTCTAGACTAAAAATAAGTCAAACAAGTTAGAGTAATGCTATTTATCATGATGATGATTAAATATCAATGACATGACGATCCATTATCTTTCACATTTCTTTTCTTTCTTGAAACCACGTCTCCTCCTCCCCTCTCTCTCATAAAAATTTAATTGTCCAATCTTATTATTCTACTTAGACTGTTACATCACCAATGTTCCAACGCCACAATGATAAATATCATTATTCAACAAATTAAGGAGACATGTTTTAAGCACATAAATTACAATAATTACAAATATAGAGTAACCACAATAAATTAAAATTTATTTTTAATAAATTTAGAGTCAGATAAATGAATTAATTTTTTTCTTTTGCCCGATTTCTAAAATTCAATATATAAGTAGGTTTATAAAAGGTCAAATACCTAAATATTTGCTAAATATGAAAGCTATATTAATTTTGATTATTTCTCTCTTAGTGTACTTTACGGGTGAGTTGTGGTTCATGCATAAATATTTGAGAACTCATTAGCCTATGTTTTGGCTCATGTTTATAAATTATTTATAGACATTTAAGTTACTGTTTATTTATACATTTCAAAAGATCTACAAATATTGTTCAAGTATGTATGTGTCAATCGTTTTTATCCATTTAAAATTTAAGTGCGTGTTTGAATCACATTATTTTGAAATAATATATTTTGGAATAGTAGATTGATGAAGAATGTGTGGTTAAAAAATGAGGAAAAGTTTTGAATTTACATGTAATGTTATTTTATTGAATAATGTGTGATTGAAATGATGTCAAATCACTGTTTAAAAATGTATTTTTTGATAGAATGCGGTTCAAACGGGGCCTAAATAATTTATAATCCAAGGTTTAATAGTCTACCAGATTCTTTATCCCAACCCAGCTAAAATTAATCGGCATTTACCTACAAGTTTACCACCTCCAACCATTCAATTCCAATTCCTGGAGAGCTTTAACTAACTAAAATTTAAATCAAGAATTCAAATTCTTCAACTATATTAATAAGATATGTCTTCTTGAAAACAAATAGTGAAAAAGTTTGATAGCTGCTGTTCATAGAAGATTCAATTATGTAAGAAAAGCAAATTCTTTGTTTTACTATTTTGTTGTTTGCATGTTCATATGTTTCAATGGTGGATTAGCCTACTGTAATCACAACCATGGTGAGAACAACCACCGCAATCACAATAACAGCTATAACAACCACTGCCACTGCTAGGTTTTGATGCCTAATAATCCGATCGATGATTTAAAACAATTGTCTAATAATTTATCGACACTATGGACTTGGCTCGACTTGAAAACGAACTACACTTTTGGATGACTCATGTTGGGATTGGATGGTTCTTTGATTAGTTGGACCATTTACTGATTAATATGAAGTTGGATATTAGCCTATTAGTTTAGGTTAATTGGTAGCACACTTAGTGAATCTTTGGCTTAATTGGAGTGATCTAAACTCACCCTATATATGTCATATTCTTGTAGCTGTTTTCTTGATGGTGGTGTGTGGGTGTGTGTTGAGAGAGGGAGAGAAGGCGGAGAGAGGTGGGGGGGCAGCTGGCTTGATGGTTGTTGGAGTGAGTCCACCATTGTTGCTTCTTCTTCTCCCTATCACTACCGCTATCCCTTCTCCTTTGTGGAGTTTAAAAGAGTTTGGACAGTTCAAAGTGAAGGTAGAGTTCTTGGGCCGAGCCGAGATAAATCAGTGTTCATTTGATTGTTTTCTGAACTCGGAATCAAGATTTATCGAGGGATCTCCACTACAAACACCCACCCCTAACTCTGCCTTTGCCTCCACGAGTCCATTACAATCCACCATGTAAGTGAATAGTCGATTCAAGTGATTATTCGGACAGTTACACAAGACACGTAATATCTTATTTTTTCTCATAAAATATTGCAGTACGTGCACAATGTTGTCACATTTTATCAAGTCTCTCCAAGAATTACTTCAAGAAAACTTTCTTTAGAACTTCCAATTTTTATCACAAGATCATCTCTCTCTACGTTCACCATCTATGAGGAATTAATTAGTCAAAAAATATTGCTTTTTTATTTATTATTTTGATTCTTTCGCGGTTTAATGATTTATGTAAGTTATAGTCTTTAGCATTCTCTTGTAGACTCATTATGATAAGATTGTTTATTTCTTTTTACTGTATTTACTCCATTTTTTTACCCCTCTTATATTCCCAGATACTATTTCGTCCTTTTAGGAGCAAATTTTGATTATTACATTGCATAGGATAGAATGTATGTTATCCCTGAGAAAAATCATACTTGTGAGCTAACAAGATTTCTTTCAGGGCCGACACTGTTAATTTTGAGCTCAAAGCGATTATTTATTATGAGGCCATTTTGCATAAAAAAATTTATAAGCGTAACAACATTAAATATTTAAATAAATACCATATAAGTAGGATTTTTTTTTCCCTGAGGCCCCCGACTTTGGTGGCCCAATTGGAGACCCTAGGCAATTGCCTTAGTTGTTATGCTCCAGGGCCGGCTCTAATTTCATTGGCTGGTTTAACTTTCTATTTCTTTTTTTATTTTTCCAAAGTGGTGTGAAATCTTGCCAACTCAACATTCATTAACTCCATTTGTTAAAACAACATATACAAATAGCATTTCTCTATCCCCGAATAGAAATATATATTTAAAGAATGTCATAGACAGAAAATCTTCCCAATTGTAATACATAATTCATTTTTTTATAATAAATATAAAAATACAGTAATGTATTCATTAATTATAGTTAAAATAAGATCAAATAACTAATAAAAGAAAATGAATAGAAAGATCGAATAGATAGTATTTTTTATAGCTTTTTGTGAATTATCTAATACTTATTCAAATATTAATGAATCAATATAGGTTCCTTATTATTAAGCAACTAATTTTTATGGAAAATAATTGTCTCAATCATTTTTGCACTTAACAAACTCATGAAAGAATCAAGTATTGAACTGATATTAGGGAATGCGGATTTAGAAGCAATAGACGATATTTGAATAGTTAATACATCATGGTGATTTGAGAGGATACATTTGTACTTATTTACATTCAATTTTCACCAAAATATTATGTCGAAAAATTTATTGGTCATCTTCACACAACCATTTAAGTAATTTAAAAATCATTCTAGCACCTAACAGTAAAATCTATTAACTAAGTTACCATATAGATAATAAATTGAGTGACCTCACAGAAATTTGAGATGTACTACCAATTAAAAGAGCAAACAATTATTTCAAAAAATGAAAAAGAAAGAGGAAATGGATAATATTGACTTGGAAATTCAGTGGAAATTCGAGAACAATATTAGTAGAAGGAAAAGAAAAGGTGAGAATTTGAATTAAAATCTAGATTTAATTATATATTTAATTGAGATGAGTGGTCAATGAATATGGTTCAGCACTAATCGTTCAACATTTCAATTTGAGGGTTTTACATTTTCAATTGAGATGATTGATGAATATTTGTGAATAGTTTAATTAATTAATTGAGATGAATAACTGCATAATTGCGTATTGACTTTTGTTCGATCTTTATAACTGTGATTAGTTTCGATTGGATTGAATAAAATAAAATATATATTTTGTCTTTTTTTCAAATATTTTGTAATCGATTTGCAAAGATTGAAACCTAAATCAAATGATTTTGAAGCGGTTTGGTTCGGTTCAAAATTAAATCGTTGGCGGATCTATGTGAATCCAAATCAATGGTTTCAAAAAAATGATTTCAATTTGATTTGTTTCATTATTAAGCCCCCTGTTTGGTATCAACTAAAATCTATATTTTAATTTAAGTCAAAGTCGCTATTTCATTATACTTCCCTCCACCTCTGTGGCAACAACCATTCATTATACTTCCCTGCGCTGCACCCACAACCATCATTGTCTCCACACTACATCACCCACCACCATAATCTCCGCCTCCACCAGTCCATTACAACACACCAGATACACAATAGTTTATGTAACCGATTGCTTGACGGCTTCAATAAACATGAAAGGTTGCATAGGAGACCTCTTATCTTCTTTTTCTCAGTAAATATTACCTTGGATGCAGAATGATGTCAGGGATTTCAAAGAATTATTTCAAGGAAGCTTTCATTTCTTTCTGTTGTCACCAACCATAATCACTTGAATCACTTGCAGCTCAAGGGATTAATTAGTCAAATAATTTACAATGCAAAAGTAGTAGTGATAAAATTAACTTTCCAGTTTCAACTCACATTGTGCTCAATAAATATACTTTAATCATAGTTCCATACAAATGTCATCACAAGATGCTCTCCTCAAACTTCAGGAAATGTTTTTGTTTATAACATGTGGGAACGAGCTAATATGTTGTAACATAAAAGATCTACTGAAACATTTAAAACAGACAATTGGACCTTTTTCCCCCTTTCATTCTCCTGCATTCACAGGATGAAATGTCTATCTGATAATGGCACATATGATGAAAGTGAATTGCAACCTTTGATCATATGATCCAACCGGGGAAAGTTTCCCTTGTGATAAGTTATTCCAAGCTTTGCTTCCCTGCACACTAAAGCCAGAGATGAAGGGAACTCGGCCATCAAAAACTTTTCAAACTTCCCTTTTTCACGATCATAAGAATAAACACTCATTGGAGACTTAAGTCTGTAATCAGCAAGTAACAATTCTCCGGTAGGGAGGCTTCCAACAGGAAAACGGCATCCCTCTTCGCTCAACTCTGTTGGCAACTCAACAATGTGTTTGGTCCACCCTACTTGATGATCATGGAATTCCCATAAGATCAATTTCCCGTCATCAAATAAGCATGCTTCGACCTGTGCCAAGGTAAGCCTTCCTCCAAGTTCCATAACATTAAACCGGTTCCATTTGTTGGTCTCTGTCATATAATCAGGTATGGGTTCAACCCGAAACTCCTCCTCCATTAGATCAAAAGCAACCACTGAATAATTAGGATGACAATCCCGACCCCAATACAGAACCCCATCAATGCAAATGCTCTGTGTCTTTAAATCAAGAGTTGCAGGAGGGATGACCCTCCAGGAGGAGTCAACCCCCAGAGTGAGAATCTCACAAGGATAACCATCACGGAATATTGGTGTGTCAATCCCCAAAGTCAAAATATCACCAACTTCGTCTGAACATATTTTAAGTAACTTGTACAAATCTTTAATTGGATCGTATCCAAAATAATATTTAGCGCGACGAGTATCTAATCGTGGGGATGGAAGCTCCAAATTTTCACGGGTGAAAATATTGCACAAGAAAATGAGGTTATCCGTATTATCATAGATACAAACAAGGCCATTGATGGCCTGGGTCATGTCGTGCTCAGCGAGTGATATGCTTGCCTGGTGATGTAGTGTTTTATCAGAGGAAACGCGAATAAAGCGCTGGATCGGTTGCCCGGGTTGGGATGAAGCATCTACGTCGGTAAAAGTAATGAGGAGCCCGTCGGCAAAACCGGAATCAGAAATAGTGGAGTGCCAGCGCTTGGACACGCATTTGAATCGCATCAGGGACTTGACCGGAAGACGCTTGAGCACTTCGATTACTGTGTCATGAGGGATCCGCGGCTCTGAATTTCGGTCATCGTTGTCGCCGCAGCGTAAACTTTTTGTCTTGCACTTAGTTGATGACAATAATTCTTTCCCGTCTGTGAACCGATCCATTGATCTGAATCAAGAATTCAAGATTGAACTTCTAAAATATTCGGTCATTCAAGATTTTGATTCAGCTTAATAGATTCTGAAAATTTCGTTCCTTTCTTGGTTGCTCCTCCGGATGAAAGTTAATTATTAATTTTTTTGTCCTAAACGAAAAAAGAAAGCAAAGCTAGATATCAGTCATTGAACTTTTAAAATATTCTCAATAGGTCATTAAGTTTTAATTTATCTAAGTTACATCACTATATTTCAATTTATTTTCATTTAGTTACTAAAATTCAATTTCGCCCATGTTTGGTTTAGAAATTAGATTTTGATAAAATTTGATAAAATGTGAATTTAAAAAATTATGATTTACGTAAAATGTGTGATTAAAATTAATTTTTGACATTGACTTATATTTTGATTAGCATATTTAATTGAACCAACTATGGACTTAATTTTAACTTCAATCTTCTTGACAACAAATCTTCCACATGACATGTTAACTTACGTCTTACTACAAGACATCGTAAAAGTCTCTTTTAATCTGAAAATATTGCCACAATCCTCATTTGACCATTTTCATTTCTTAGGTATGGTTGCTAATTAAGAAGTTTTCATTGGTTTAGAAAAATGATAGGTGATGAAATGTAACAGAGAAATAAAATTTAGAACATCATAGGTGACTAAATGTTACAAAAAATGAAATTTGAAAGTAAACTTTCAATGAACCAAGGAAAATAACCGCACATGAAATTTATCTTCCCCCTCACCTAACACCTTTGATACATATGTCATCTCAGTCCCACCACGCAATTCCAAAGGCAAGCAGCTGAGGTTAAAGAAGATACAAAAATGGAGTCAACATTACTCTTTTCGAGTACTTTGTCCCTCTCCAAGTCCTTCATTTCTTCAACCCCTCTCTCCCAGCGGCTCTTCTCCACGGCTTGCCCGGGTGAACTCGTTCACTTCCAGCTCAGGCGCTGCGAGTTCAGCGGGGTTCGTTCGGGTCCTTTGGTTCGAGGTCTGGGCACTGTGGACCCGCACTGGATCCGATTTCAGTGCCCGGCTAGCTCTGCGCCCTCGTTTGCTTCCGGTGGCGGAGGGTCTGATGGAATTGATGGAAATGGTGGCGGTGGCGGTGAGGGTGACGGTGACGGTGCGGCTGAAGGTGGCGAGGGGAAGTCGACGGCGGTGGCCGCCGGGGCTGAAGATGATTCTGCTTTGAGTTCTGATGTTATTGTTCTTCACGTTGGAGTAAGCTCTTATTATTATTATATTTTTTTTTTCCAAAGCCACTTCATTTGGCGAAAATGGGAAGAATATTTCCTTTATTTTTTGTTTAAGAGACCTTCTCAGGAAATAATGAAATACCCTCTTATTGTAAAACTCCTCAACTTCATCTCCCTGCATGTAATGGTGTAAATTTATGGGGGAAAAAAAATTGAGCTACTCCTACAGTTTCCAAATCAAAGTATTTGGCTAGCCATAAATATAAATTCATATTAATAATTACTCAGAAATCAGAAGTCATCCATTAGCTTGTTGATCGAGCTATTCTGATTCTGGAAATGATGTGCTTTTAATTGAATTTGAAAGGGTTTTTATTTATGACTTAAGATGTGGGAAAAAATGAATTTCTTTTCTTAGCTTTTAATACAAAATAATAATTTCTTGAGTATCATGAATTATATGTTCAGCAACAGTGGGTAATTAACCGTTTGGTTTCTAAGAAATTTACTTTTTCTGAAATTACAGGGAATGACATGCGGGGGATGCGCAGCAAAAGTGAAAAGAATTTTAGAAGGTCAAGTAAGTGCATAAAATCATGGTGCATCTACTAGTAATTTTGATGCATACACGTGCGTCCTAATGTTTTTTGAATGTTTGGGAGAAAAGAAACTTCGCTGATTAGGTTTTTTGGTTTTATGTAATGTCTTTGGATAATCAATTTCATAATCAGAGATGCCCCTTTTGCTAGCTTTTCATGGATTAGAATAGAGTTTATACTTGTTTTTTCTTGCCCATGCACACAGGTCTCTACTGTTTGTGAAGTTATAACTTGGGGCAAGGCAAAATTCCTCTGGAAATGAATATTAAAAAATCAGTCTGAAGTGGGATAAAGGTGTGAAGCAGGATACTACCAATGTAATATTGCAGCCGATAATTTGGATACTAATGGAAGTGCATCTAAGATTTTGTAATTGATGCTACTTAGCAAAAAGCAAAGCAACAATATTATATTTTTGGAAAAAGATGCCAAGTATTGAATTCTTACCTTTACGATGGGGATTTTGTTGACTATCTTGGATAAAGAAAGCTACCAGATATTAGAATTTTTCAGAAGATTGTTGATATTTCTATTTGACAATGTTTACAATATGGTCATATAGTTTTCCACATTTAGTTTTTTAGGTCTTGGAGATTTTGTACTAGAAGCCTTGTAGCCATAATGATGTATTCAGCAAGTAATTGTGTTAAATTTGTGAACAGCCGCAAGTTTCTTCAGCTAATGTGGATCTCGCAACTGAGACTGCAACTGTCTGGCCTGTATCTGAGGCCAAGGTTGCACCCAACTGGCGAAAGGATTTAGGAGAGGCTCTTGCAAAGCATTTGACAAGTTGTGGCTTCAATTCTAATCTTCAAGGTTGGCATTTTTCTATTTATAATTTTGTTTGTTTCATTTCTTCTTCAATTCTTTGTGACTTTTGTGAATGTGATTCCACAAGAGGATGTGTACTTGTCTGTGTTTCATACACTACTGGAACAAGCATATGAGGAGTTTAAAACATGAACAAGCTTGGATACTTTTCAGTAATAAAATGTCAGACAGGCCTCTGCATATTTTTTCTACAATAAAACAGTTCTCTACTGGGAACATATTGGGTTATGATGAGTTTCAAGGATATTATATTCTAAAACCTCTCAAAATGTTCCCATGAGGACTAATAATGAGTTTGAAACCACTTTCAAAGTTATAAACTGAAGATATTCCTTTAAAACATTTGCTGCTCTAAGTTATAGAGGCCAATATTCAGTTGCAATTTTACTATAATAATTCAGAACTTCAAAGATTCGTTTGTTAGATTTCAAAAATGCTGACAACATATAAAACTTTAGAAGAGGCACTGGAAAGATTTTCCTGAAGCTTACATACTAATTTGGGATTATTCAGAGAATTATGAGCCAACCTCAGATACTTCCTCAAGGACATAGCTCATAATAGTCTTAGTTTTGATGCTCTGTGCTTAAATTTTGCCTATGTTCAGCTCATGTTCATAAATTGTTTATAAACACTCAAGTTGTTTTTATTCACACATCTCGAGGACCCACAAGTACAATCCTCTTATTCACCACTCATTTCTATTATATTAATCTAAACTGTTTGTAAAAACTTCCAACATGCTTTTAGTTTCTATTGTGGGGGGTATTTTTGAAATTTGAGAATATTCTGGCAGGAAGTCATAACAGGTTGGCAAGTTGAGTCTAATCGTGTTTTAAGGTTGTCCGTTTTGATTGGAGATTTGTTTAGTCATCAAGTCCGGATTTCTATTTTCTTAGATTGAATTTCTGTTCTAATCGAGTTGGTGTTGGTCTTTGGTTCCTTTGTTTTATTTAGAATACTGTTATTATCCTTATGCAGATGCTTTCTTCAAGTTGTATTTCTGTGGGAGCCTAAGAAGAGTCCTTAGTTTGTCCATGCACGGTCATCAGTGTGGATTTCAGCCTCTGAATCTAAATTGTTTCTACATTTTGTCCTCAAACTTGTGCCCAAATTTCCCTAATAATTAAGCTCCTATATCCCTTCTTTTCCCCTGAGTTTGAGATATGCAAGTAGTTCAGAAATCCCACCAGTGTCACTGGTGGAGCCAGTATGAGTCCACTGGCCGTGGGGAAGTTTCACCCACTGGGTTTTGCGTACACTTCTAATTTGATTAAATCGAGAAATGTTGGAAAATAAGTAGTGAAGTTTTGTCCATATATTTGAGCCTAAAGTTGAGCTTATTCTTAACTTGGTAATTTTGAATATCTACATGTGGGTTGAATTGTAAAATTAATAGTTGCCCTGAATAATTTTTTTTAAAATTTTTTTAACCCGGTTTACAATTTTTTTAATGTCATAGAATAAAGAAGAGTGTTAGAGCATCTCCAAAATGCTCTCTAATTTTAAAGAGTATATTTTGCAATTCAGAGAGATTCCATAAATTTAGAGAGAGAGAGAAATTTTAAGTAGTACAATATGCTCTTTATATTTAATATTTAGTCCCTGTTTGGCTCCCATTATTTCAAATTATAATGGGTGGAATAATATTTTTTGGAGAATGAGTGGTTGAAAAATAAGAAAATGTTTTCAATTTACGTGTAATATTATTTTATAGAAGATTGTGTGATTGAAAATATGAGAGAAAAAATTAAAATTTAATTTAATGGAGGTCAAACGGGGTCTTAAATTTATTACTCCCTAAAAATATTTATTGTTTTTCCTTATCTTTTATTTTCACCAGCTTTCCTCTAAAGTATTATATTATTTTCCTCAATTGAAAATTGAAATACTTTGAATGCATTTAGATGCAGGCTTGTTTAAAGAATCTTTTGGAACATAATTTTAAAGGTTAATAGAAAGCATCTTATGTTCAAAAAATCTCTTATTGGACTATATATCCCTTGTTTTTGCTAGAAGGAATCGGAAAATTGGAATTTGTCACGGCATCTATTATTAGCACAATGAGCTTGTTTATGCTTTACTCTTTCGACATGGACGAGACACTAAACAACACTAAAGCACATTTGGGTTCCGTATAACTTATGCATAATGTCTTGGATGATTGGCAGATCAGGGAGCCGTTGAAGAGGAAATTCCGTCATAGAATACAACATAATCTTGTAGCAATAAACCATTCTTCTTCATGGTAAGGTACGTCCTTATTATAATGGTATATTATTTTTGGACTTGCTTAAATAGTTTCTTGTGACTACTGAAGTAGTTTTTTCCATCAAAAGATGCTTCTCTTTAGCTGCTGCTGGCGGATCTGTGGGAGGCAGTCTTCTCTATTACTAGAAACTCCATTCAATTTGGATATTTTACCTTCTTGCTAGTCGAGAAAATCCATTCATAAAGAGAGAGTAATATTATACGAGTTTACTCTTTCAGTTGTCTTTCTTGTTGTAAGATCTAACGAACATTTGAGGTTTTGTTCGTGGCCTTTTCCCGCAAAGGATATGATTTTTGTGCAACACAAGAATTCATATAACAATTTGTGCTTGTATCTATGTTTCTTCCCTATCCACTCGATTCCAGTATTCATAGGACATTCAATTCACTAGTTACTTATTTTCATACATTTCGTAGAATTCATCAATTGTAAATAAATATTAAATTCCACTTGTAACCTTTTCTTAGTGCCTGAATGGATTGACCATCCACAACTTTACAGATGAGTGAGTATAGGATGCCCGTTTGACTCACTAAACGGTATGGGCGAATTTAAATGGAAAAGATCGAAATTAAGATATTTAAATAGAACGTTGAAGATTTAAATGTTCTATTCTCAAAAGTTGGAGATTCCAACCAAAAAAAGATAAGAGTTTTTGAGTAATTAAAGATAATTTTTTTCTAAGCTTGATTGGTTTCTTTTCTTTTTTTTTTTTTTTTTGGCAAGAATAAATTTATCTATCTATCATTATTTTCTTCCTAAATTTGTTTGATGACAATAATGATGTTAGTATTGATGTTACCAAAAAATAGTACTTGAAAGATCTCGAACTTAATGATCGAACTTTGAACGCTAATGAACACAAATGATCTTCGAATACCAGCAGCAAAGGCAATAAGGTGTGTAATCGTCGTTCCTCCGATGCTTAAATTAGATAGGGAATTTAGTGCATGAGACTATCAACTGAAAATAATAAAAAACGTACCTCAAGAATGAGCCCGTATTATATATTTATAGGTGCTAATGATAGAGTCCTAGAAGGACTTAGCAATGGGTGATCCTTATCCATGTAGGATAAGGAGTTAGTGTTTTATTCCAAGTATTCAACCACTGTTTGAGTCGAAAATGGAGTCTAGCTAGGTAAGAATTGTAGGTTAGGTAGAATTTGTGTTCCCATAAGTCGTCAAAAAGACCTCTCATGACGACATAGAGTTCGACCTAAGTGCCCCGACCTCAAACTAGGAGTTTTGAGGGGGAACAAGATCGGGGTAGAGTGGTCGAGTTCAAGATCGGGTAATTTTGGGGTGATCATAGGCCCACATGCATCAAGGTCGTAGATTACGGTCCAAGTCAAAACTACAAGTGAAGATGCAGAGGTGTAAATGTCCAGGTGTCGCTCCACGTGTCACGCGTCTGATGGAATGTCAAAACTCAAGCTTGGATGGGTGCCACGTGTCTTAGTCCAAGAGTTGGGATTAAAAGATCGTTGGTATTCTACAGTCTCCTATAAATACTCCCACTTTCACCATTCATTTTCACTTTTCACTCTCAATTACTCTCAGTAAAATCGAGCTCGAGTTCGAGGATTGTGAGTTAGTGAGCGATCATCTGAAAAGGTAAGAGTTTGAGCCCTTAAGTTATTTTTTGAATTAGTATAATGTCAAGTAGCAGTAGTAGTACGGGGTCGAGTGATAGCGATAGTAGTCATCCATCTAGGGTCTCGATCAATAGTGACAAGCTTGTCGATATAGATGCATCCCTTATTCCCCTGGCCATCCCCATCAGTTCTCACGTCGATAGCAGCGTCAGCTTGACATATCCTAAAGAACCGACCAAATATAAAGAGCATGTTATTATTAAGATAGCCAGGGAGTTCGGTGTCATGCCTGCCTGTGACGTTAGGACCCCGGGGCGTACTGAACCGGTATTAGATGCTCGAGAAGGGAAGATGACATTTTTTAGGGACGCCCTTAAGGCCGGGCTTAGGTGGCCTTTTCATCCCTTTTTCATCCATTTTCTATCCTCTTACTCCTTGTGCCTGGGCCAATTAGCCCCGAACAGCTAGAGACTGTTAGTGTACTTCTTCATTTTATGTAGATGCCTTGAGGTCGAGCCTAGACTAGACCTTCTAAGAATGGTTTTTGCTATTAAATTCTCCTCGGGGTACAACTGCTTTGTCTATTTATCAACTAAGGGGGGGTTTAGGATACCAGAGACCTTGAGCTCCCTTCGGGTTTGGAAAGAGAGGTTCTTTTTCATTAAACCACAAAACCCTGACCACCCCTTTAACCCAAAGTGGGAGGTACCCGACAAAGATAATTTAACGAAGGGCAGGCATACTTCGAGGTATTAGAATGGGATAGGTTGAGGTTAGTTAACCATGATCCTTTGGCAAAGAAGATTGATTACTTGCTCGAGGATGACACCCTTGACCTTGCCAATGTGAAAGGCCTCGAGGGTACGTCCTTTCATCTTTTTTCTTCTCGTTAATTCTCCTTGAGCTTAAGGTTGGGCTAATGTCTTGTGATTTATTTTTGTAGATTTGAAAATGTCTTTCAACCCATCGAACCTTCTTGCAAACATTCAGCAGGAGGCTAAGGGTCCAAAGCCTAAGGCCCCGGCCCCATCAAAGGGGAAGAAGAGGGCAAGGGAGGTCATTGGGAGGGAGCCCCCAATGGCTGTTACCCCAACCTTACACAAAGGCCAATCCTCGACATCGAGGGCCCCAACCCCACCACCCCAGCCAATACCCAGGGCACGAGATCGAGCTCGAGGATGCCAGGGGGTTGCTAACTCCGACTTCTCTCCCATCTCTGATAGTGCCCTCGAAGAGTATTCTGAGTGCACCCTCATGAAAGATCTTGTTTACCGGTTTGAGAAAGAGGTCAACATTGTTAAGGGCGTTAAGACATTGGAGGTCCTGACATTGAGGGTAACATATCAACCTCAATTATGTTCCCTTTATTTGATAGTCTTCTTTCATCGAACTAACGTCGAGTTTATTTATGCAAACGTTGAGCGTAGCATTAGGCCTTACCTTGAATGGCCTCAATATTTCGAGCGAGCTACAAGAGCTTGAGAAGGAAAAACAGCGAGCTAACGGGCGAGCCAATGACCTCGAGAAAGCTCTAGATGCAGCGAAGGCCAAACTTAAAAATGCTCAAGAGGAGATTGAGGTTCACGAGGGCGAAGCTGACGAGGCAAGGCTCGAGCTTCTTGAGTCCAAGAAAGGCTTCGAGGAGGAGCTAATGAGAGCCCGTGACGAAGCTCGAGCCGAAGCTGTGGAGGACTTCAAGAAGTCGGAAGAGTTCGGGACCCTCCTTGGTCAGTATGACTCGGGTTTCTATCACTATGGCTTGCTGCTTGCTCGCTTCTTTCTCCAAACAAGGCTCTTTGAGGACTTAAGGCCTCTCATGGAGGAGCTGAGGATGGTGAATGAGCCAGCTACCGAGCTCGAACTTTCTGCCTCGGAGGTCGATGATGATGATGACGATGACGATGGTGATGGTGATGGGGACGAGGTCGGGACTGGTGATCATGACGATGTTAGGGTTGTTGATATAGATTAGGTTCCCCGACCCCAAGTTTTGAAGTTTAGTTTGTAAAGTACATTGCTTGATGTGGCCTATTGCCTATTTTTGGAAATGTGATCGACGTTGGTTTATTCTATTCTATTTATACAAGATCGCGTATGATGTTTATTTACTAGCTCGATCGTTGACACTTGTCTTCGTTATGCAAGATCGTGTATGGTGTTATGATCGTGCATGGATCATTAGAAGATTGATTATTTGTATGGGTTATATTTCATGACATAATTAACTCGAATGTTGACGCATACGGCCTGGGTGGGTGATAGCTCGATGATATTGTATACCCTAATGATACAATCGATCCTTGTACTTGGAAAATTGGGCTCTTTCTAAGCTCGGAAATGTATTTTCAGGCTTCGTCCTGTATGGGGTCAACGAGTTCGAG